CCCGGGGGGCACGGCTGGGGACTCCAAGCGCTGCAGCACCTGGTGCGAGCTGCCAAGGCCTCACAGGTGACCCCAGCCGGGAGGTGTCCCCACGGGCCTGTCCCCAGTGGCTGAGCACCCCCAAGCTCGTTGCCCAGGAGGGGGAAGCCGAGGCAGCGGCTCCCGTTTCTCCCGCAGGAAGCAGCCACCGGCCGCAAAGGGACCGGCTCCCGAGCCGCCCCCCGTCCTCAAGGTCTTCAACAGACCCATCCTCTTCGACATCGTCTCCCGGGGGTCCCCGGCCGGCCTGGATGGGCTCCTCTCCTTCCTGCTCACCCACAAGAAGCGCCTCACAGACGAGGAGTTCCGAGGTGAGGACCTGGGCGCTCCTTGCCCCGGTGCCGGGGCTGTGCCGTGACCACCGGGGATCCCTGCGGTGCTGAGGGATGGGGATGCACAGCTCTGCCATGGGCAGCCAGGGGCCTGAGGGGTTTGCCCTGGGCCCCCTCAGCATCCTCCACTCGCAGAGCCCTCCACGGGAAAGACGTGCCTGCCCAAAGCCCTGCTGAACCTGAGCGGGGGCAAGAACGACACCATCCCCGTCCTCCTGGACATCGCCGAGAAGACGGGAAACATGCGGGAGTTCATCAACTCGCCCTTCAGGGACGTCTACTACCGAGGTGGGGGGCGTGGGGCCGCTGCTGGCCCCGCCTGGGCACGGGGGACACTGCGGTGCTCCGGGGACCAGAGGAGGGACCTGGCAGGGCGGGGGAAGTCCCGGGGCAAGGCGGTGGCTGAAGGGCCGTGGTGTCACAGGCCAGACAGCTCTGCACATCGCCATCGAGCGCCGCTGCAAGCACTACGTGGAGCTGCTGGTGGAGAAGGGAGCAGACGTCCATGCCCAAGCCCGCGGCCGCTTCTTCCAGCCCAAGAGCGAGGGCGGCTACTTCTACTTCGGTGAGCAGGGAGGGACCCGGGGGGCCGCACCCCAAGATGTCCCCGCAGAGGAGAAGGGGTGACAAGAAGCCCCGGCGTTGTCCCCGCAGGTGAGCTGCCCCTCTCGCTGGCCGCCTGCACCAACCAGCCGCACATCGTGCACTACCTGACCGAGAACGGGCACAAGCAGGCGGACCTGCGGCGCCAGGACTCCCGCGGCAACACCGTCCTGCACGCCCTGGTGGCCATCGCCGACAACACCCGCGAGAACACCAAGTTTGTCACCAAGATGTACGACCTGCTCCTCGTCAAGTGCGCCAAGCTCTTCCCCGACACCAACCTGGAGGCCCTGCTCAACAACGATGGGCTCTCCCCGCTCATGATGGCAGCCAAGACCGGCAAGATCGGGGTACGGTGTCCCCCCGTACTGGGGGATGTCTCCCTGCCGTCCCTGCTGAGCCCCGTCACACTCGGTGCATGCCCGGCTTCTCTCTGCAGATGCTGGTGGAAACCTGGATGTGCATCCTATTAACCTGGCTAATTAACATCCCTTTGCATTCCAACCCCTTCCTAATTAACTCCAGACCCTCACACGGTCCATCTCCTCCCCTGACCTGCCCTTGGCCTCTGGTGGGGCAGGCAGGGGAGTCATCACAAATGCAAAAGCTGCGTTATCCTGGAGGGCTGGGACGGTGTCTTTGCATCACCCCAGGAGCACCTGGGAGCATCCTGAGCCCACTGGGGTGCAGGGAGGGGGTTGGGGACGCACCCAGGATGGGGTGGGAGGAGGTGAGGGGGGCAGGTGGGGCCAGGTCTGTGGGTAGCAGACCTCCCTCCCTCCCTCCCTCCGTCAGATCTTCCAGCACATCATCCGACGGGAGATCACGGATGAGGACGTCCGGCATCTCTCCCGGAAATTCAAGGACTGGGCGTACGGCCCCGTCTACTCCTCCCTCTATGACCTCTCCTCGCTGGACACCTGCGGGGAGGAGGTGTCCGTGCTGGAGATCCTCGTCTACAACAGCAAGATCGAGGTGTGCAGGGGCTGGGGGGGACTGGGAGGGGCTTGGAGGGGACAGGGTGGCCCTGTCCCGTCTGTCAGCACCCACATCCCACCAGAACCGCCACGAGATGCTGGCCGTGGAGCCCATCAACGAGCTGCTGAGGGACAAGTGGCGCAAGTTTGGGGCCGTCTCCTTCTACATCAGCGTGGTCTCCTACCTCAGCGCCATGATCATCTTCACCCTCGTCGCCTACTACCGCCCCATGGAAGGGCCTGTGAGTCCCCAGGCTGGCACAGCCCCACGGGCCGGCACTGCCTCGCAGGGGGGTCTGCCAGGTCTCTGTCCCAGGGAATGGGGGAGCAGCTCAGCTCTGTCCTCTCCCCGCAGCCACCCTACCCTTACACCAGCACCGCTGACTACCTGCGCCTGGCCGGGGAGATCATCACCCTCCTCACTGGGATCCTCTTCTTCTGCACAAACGTCAGTGTGGCAAGGCAGGGGGTCCTTCCGTGGGACCGCTGAACTCTTTCTGGGGTCTCCAGCCCCATCCCCTGAGGCATCCACCACTGCCACAGTGGCCCCAGACTCGGGGACCCTGCAACCCAGACCCTCCAACCTCTTCCTCTCTCCCACAGATCAAAGACCTGTTCATGAAGAAGTGCCCGGGTGTGAATTCCTTCTTCATAGATGGCTCCTTCCAGCTGCTCTAGTATGTGGGGAACCCCCAGGGCCGCCACGGGCCACTGAAGCCCCCGGGCTTGTGCTCTGACCCCAACTCTCCTCCAGCTTCATCTACTCGGTGCTGGTGATTGTCACGGCGGGGCTGTACCTGGGTGGCATCGAGGCCTACCTGGCTGTCATGGTCTTTGCGCTGGTCCTGGGCTGGATGAATGCCCTGTACTTCACCCGTGGGCTCAAGCTGACGGGGACCTACAGCATCATGATCCAGAAGGTCTGGTGGGGTCGTGGGTCTTGTCCTTCTCCAGGGGTGATCCTCCTGTGGAAGTACAACCTAAAGAGGTTCCTCCAGGCTTTGTGAAGGGTTCCTGTGGCTCTCCACTGCCCTGCTTCCAGCCCAGTTGTGCCAGCTTGGTGATGATGCTGTGGTCCAGCACACCTCACCCTACTCTCCACCACTTTTAGATCCTCTTCAAAGATTTGTTCCGCTTCCTCCTGGTCTACCTGCTCTTCATGATCGGCTATGCGTCAGGTAACCGGCCAGGCCCCCTGGCTGGGGGAAGGACAAGCCCTGTGGCTCAGCATGGCTGGGCAGGGGGCTGCAGACCCCCTGCTCCATCCCACCTGCCCACAGGCTCAGCCTTTGCCTCCTCCCGTGGTGGAGAAGGTCTCAGCCAGCATGGAGCCACACTGGGGCCCATTGTAGATCCCGTCCTTGCCATCGCCCCTGCGGACTCGTTGTCCCTGTCCCTTCTCCCCCAGCCCTGGTGTCCCTCCTCAACCCGTGTCCCAGCAGTGAGTCGTGCAGCGAGAAGCCCAACTGCACTGTGCCCACCTACCCATCCTGCCGGGACAGCCAGACCTTCAGCACCTTTCTGCTCGACCTCTTCAAGCTCACCATCGGCATGGGCGACCTGGAGATGCTCGAGAGCGCCAAGTACCCTGGCGTCTTCATCATCCTCCTTGTCACCTACATCATCCTCACCTTTGTGCTCCTCCTCAACATGCTCATCGCCCTCATGGGTGAGACCGTGGGCCAAGTCTCCAAGGAGAGCAAGCACATCTGGAAGCTGCAGGTACCACCCTGGGGGCTCCAGGGGCTGCCTGTGCCTGGGGGGCTGCAGCATCCCGAGCTCCATGGGCAAGGCACCTCCATGCTCAAGTAGTCCCTGGTGTCCCTGGCAGTGGGCCACCACCATCCTGGACATCGAGCGCTCCTTCCCGGTGTTCCTACGGAAAGCCTTCCGCTCGGGGGAGATGGTCACTGTGGGGAAGGGCACGGACGGGACCCCTGACCGCCGCTGGTGCTTCAGGTAAAGGTGGGCGCCCTCAGAAAGGCTCATCTGAGCCTCTCCCACCAGAGCCAGCAGCATTTTGGGGGGCTGGCACCGTGCACTCGTTTTCTGGGCACTTTGTACTGGTCTGGACTCAGCTGGCACTGCTGGTGGGTGCTGGTGCTCCTGCCCTGGCTCCCGGGCGCTCCATGCCCCTGCGTGTCTGACCTTCCCCACAGGGTGGATGAGGTGAACTGGTCCCACTGGAACCAGAATCTGGGAATCATCAGTGAGGACCCAGGCAAGAGCGACACATACCAGTACTACGGCTTCTCGCACACCGTGGGCCGGCTGCGGAGAGGTGAGCACCGCGCTGTGGGCTGGGAGCATCCCTCAGGATGCTGCTTGCAGCCTCTGATGAGCCCCAGGGGCAGATCTGGGGGTTTGGGGAGCAGCCACGGGCTCCCAGCTCTGCACATCTCCACAGATCGGTGGTCGACGGTGGTGCCACGCGTGGTGGAGCTGAACAAGAGCTGCCCGCCGGAGGAGGTGGTGGTACCCCTGGGGACCATGGGCACAGCGGAGCCTCGGGAGCGGCGGCACTGCCATGCCCCGAGCTCCCCGCTCTAGCACGGCAGCACCGGCAGCTGATGGACTCTGCCCGGGCCCCTGGAGCGGCTCTGGAATCGCCACTGAGCTGGATGGTGCTTGTTTGCTCCTCAGGGATTTGCGCAGCCTCTGTCCCTCCGGCAGCCGCTGTCCCCGTGGGTGTCCAGCCCGGATGGGGCCCTGGTCCTGCCCCGGTGGTACCGGCGAGCTCCTGGGCCACCGCTTGGCTTTGCCGTGCTGGGAGTCCCGGGCTGGGCCGGGGTGGGGAGCACGGCCCCTGCTGCCCGTCAAGGCCGATGGTTTTGCCACAGAGTTTTGCACAAGATTTGTACGACTATTTATTTAGTAATAAAAACTGACCCGCCACCGCCGCCTCCTCCCAGCGCTGGGTGATTCCGGATGGGAGAGCCAGGCTGCTGGCAGGGCTCGGGGAGGGATGGAGGAGCTGCCTGCTCCCTGGCCGTGCCAGGCCAGGCCAAGCCAAACCGTGCCAAGCCATGCTTTTGGGCACGGTCACCCATCAGGCTGAGCTCAGGTGTGGTGCACGGGTGTGGTACAGGGATGTACCACAGGGATGTGTGCAGGTGTGTACAGGGATGTGATGCACAGGTGTGGTACAGGGATGTGATGTGCAGGGATGCGGTGCATGGCTACCATGCACAGGTGCGGTGCAGGGATGCGGTGCAGGGATGCGGTGCAGGGATGCGGTGCAGGGATGAGGTGCAGGGATGCGGTGCAGGGATGCAGTGCAGAGATGCGGTGCAGGGATGCGGT